TAGATACGTCTTTACGTCGCCTCGTGTTTTTATTTTAAGTGCTGTCAATTGTGCGTGCAAGAAGATATTGATGAGTGAGAAATAAGTAAAAGAAGTGTGTGAAAATTTCAGTTATTTATGTTTCATTGTATTTGCGTGATATACCTACATAAATAAGTATGTACAATTGGGTACTTTTCTTAATCAAAAATAAATTATTTCGACTGTTCAATACAATAAGATATTAAAAAATAATCACATTTTCATTTATTGATTTATTTACCCATTTAATTTTAATATTTTTCCAGCAAATTTTCAAAAAATAAGTACGCTGTTTGACGCTAAAAAAAACGTGACGTCACAATACACTATCTCGTACACAATTCATAGAAAAATGTCGTTTTTGACTGTTCGAAAAAAGGAATTGGATTTGACTAGTTGGCAAGTACCCAATTAAATGTAGGTACAGCAATTTTACTTACATATATTTTACAATTAACTTATAACATAGATTTTTTTATTATAGTTATTGCATTATTGAAGAGAATGTCATCGCATAAAGTTTTAAAACAACTAAAGTTACCATTCAATGTAAATATTTACTCATTTGTGTTACCCGCAAATTGAATATTTATTAATTAATAACAATATTCACCAATGTTTATTCGTAAATAACATTACTACCAGTTCAATGAATTAAATTAACATAAAACTATTTGAATTCGTAATAGAATCGAGATAACGTATCGAATTGGCAGTTGTACAAACAAACTGACAGGTTTAATCGAACATCTATATACATTTACTACCGTAGTAGTGACGTATATAAGAAACGAATATCTTTATTTAAAACTCGTATTGTTTAAAGAAAATCGTAAAAAAAGCCACGAAAATAAACGAATCGTAAATAAAAATCGATTTTACTACTCAATAAAATGTTCTTTGCTTGTCTGATAGTTTCCGTAGGTATCAGATCGATACAGTTTTATTTGATTAGTCATATTTTTTTATTCTACTGTGAATCAGAATTCAGAATTTTTATATTCGAATTTCAAAATAGTTTTATAGCTGAAAACGGGAAGGTACTCGGTTTGAAATGTGAATTTTTATGGCTGTTATTGAATTCTTAAATTAATAAGATGTTCAGGTATGTGCTGGGTCATCTGCACCAATTTACGAAAAAAATGTGTACCTTAACATATATACATAAACTTTACGCCTTTCTCCTATATATATATATATATATATATATACGAGACATTGTAGAACATACTTTTTTAAAAGAGTAACGAATGGAGTTTCTTGCTCGTTCTTCTCCATTCGAATCTACGTTTTGGAATGAGCACCTAGCTTCACCTAATTTCACTGACGGACTGACTGACAGACTATTATTTATTTTGTATTTGTTGACGTTTCAAAAGTACCAAACTATGTTTTAATTGAAATAAATGCTTTGACTTTGACTTTGACTTTATAGGCAGAGAGTATGTAACTCCAATGACTACGATTCCTACATACCTCTTTCGCTTCATCAACAGTCATCAATCTTTTCAGCCATGCTTTAACAATTCAATATAAGTGCTAATTTTACTTGGTTGTTGGGGTATAACTCTCTAAAAGTCAGACGGGCAACAAATTTTAATAATATACAAAATTGTTCACGGTCGAATTGATGCTCCTGATTTGCACAATGAGTTCCTTCGTATTTTTGCTCCTGACCATTACTGTCGCAACAGAAAGCACACGTTATTTGCTGTACCATCTTGCAGAACAGTCAGTATAGCTAAATCTCCGTTACCACGCACGATGAAACTTTTAAACCGATTCTTGGATTCATTTGGATGATTTTAATAGGCATAATATCATATATTATTACAACACAATATATTACAATAATCTTTACCTCACACAAGATAATATAGAAAACTCACGTAACAACGCTAAGCGAAATAGAAAAGTATCGACCAATCATATTTTCCCCTTCCTTAACATTTGACGTAGGAAATCTCTCTAAATTGGCAGCTGTCGTGTAACTTCACAATTACTCCAATTGCTATAAGTAAAGTGCGGTTGGTTACGATAAATAAAAATATTTGTTACAGTATAAAAATAGTACTAATAAGGTAGGGCTATGCATAGGCTACAGGTTCATAGGAACCCATCCATAGCTTTACCTTTTTTCCACTATTTACAGTAATTCTGCACAAACCGGGGACAATCCTTGAGTGCATTTCTATAGTGCATACAGGGATAGTCGTAGATTTGTGTGTCCATTACATTTAGATTAAGTTGTCTAAAGGGCCTCTGGGCAGTTTGCTTCGGCCTATTTATGACTGGGACCCTGTGGTCCCGTGAAAGATAAAGTATTAATAATATTGTAAAACCGTCTAATATCTTTTCAATTCTCATTCTTTTTTTTTTTTTTTTTATCAAAATTTACTACTTTTGCGCCTAATATCTCGGTTGTCGATAAATGTTCGCTTCGCCTCCTAGGTGCGCCCGTCTTCGAGGACTCTTTTCAAAGTTTTATTGATGAAAAAATTCAAAATTTTTCTGTCGTTTCAGAAAGACTGTATCACATTAGAATGCATTCGGCCTATACTATTATTCGTTTTTGTTGTTTTGGTCCCAAATTTATGTATTTTTTGCGCTCGATCCACCTCTGGTCTGCACCCCTTCTTTTAGAAAAAATTGACCGAAGCATTAGACAAACTTTATCCTTAATTTTGAATGTGGCTCTCGACGACCGAGCCTGGACACAAGCTACTCTGCCTGTCCGCATGGGTGGGCTTGGCGTCCGTAAAATTTCCAGTGTAAGCCTACCAGCTTTCATATCTTCCGCCCACGGTACTGAAGAATTAACCAGGAAAATTCTTTCTCAATCACTGGTTAATTTTGATGTACCATTTTTAGTGGAAGCTGTGAAAGCTTGGAAAATCGCTTGCCCAAATATTGACCCCCCCGTCAAATCACTCTCCCAGAGACAATGGGACGAGCCGCTCTGCAGGAAAGTGAGCGAAAATCTATTGAACTCCGCTTGTTCAACTGCAGAGCGAGCTCGCCTTTTGGCTGTGGGTGAGTGGGAGTCAGGGTTATGGCTTCTTGCTTTGCCTTCGTCCAACTTAGGTACTTTGTTGGACGACACCACATTCCGCGCTGCAATTTGTTTAAGGCTTGGGGCTTCATTTTGTTCACCTCATCGTTGTCGTTGTGGTGAAGATGTCAACAGCCTTGGACACCACGGCTTGTCGTGTAGCCGTAGTGCGGGTCGTTTTGCTCGACACGCGAGTATTAATGACATAATTCGTCGAGCTCTTGTCTCCGTTGGCGTGCCAGCTACTTTAGAACCTAATGGCTTGGTACGCAACGATGGCAAGAGACCCGACGGTATGTCATTATTCCCTTGGAAGATGGGTAGGCCTTTAGTATGGGACGCCACTTGCGTTGATACTCTGGCGCCATCCCATCTTCCAAACTCAGCGTGTCGAGCCGGTGCTGCCGCTGCTGCTGCCGAGAACCTCAAACGGCGAAAGTATGATAGCCTGATTGGCAATTATGCTTTCGAACCGTTTGGGGTTGAAACTTTAGGGCCGTGGGGCCCAAGTGCACATCTTCTTTACAAAGATATTGTAAAGAGGATGGTTGACACTTCAGGTGATCGAAGGGCTGGCTTCTACCTTGGACAAAGGTTAAGCATTGCCATTCAACGTGGTAATGCTGCCAGTCTTTTGGGCACCCTACCTCACGATAATGATGAGGAAAATTTTTTCTTTGATGCCTTATTATAGCTTATTTATTTATTATTACCTTTTTTTTAAGGTGTAAATATTTTAGTTCATAGTTATTTATATTTTAAGTTGTATATATTTTCATTTAGTTATAGTTGATATTAATTATATAATAATTGTATGTACGAATTCTAACAATAAATTATTCTCCATTCTCATTCTCAAATTTTACTAGAACAGGAAAATGGAAATTGTAAAGTACGTACGACTTTTCCTGTATCCATTTCTTTTTCGCTAATAATATTTATATTCTGCCAATCTAAGTAGTAATATAAAAAATCGACAACATAACAAGACCAAGTCCTGTTTTGCATATGCGTATGAAAAAGATATAAAACAATTTTGTGTATTCATACAAAAACAACAAGCGACTGTGAGAAAAGTATTTATTTAAAATCTAGCAAAAATGAAGCACCATATAAGTAAGTAAAAAAAATGTTTAAAGAAAGCGACAGTTTTCAGAAGAAAGAAGAAAATTCAATTTATATCTAAAATGGTTTCGAAATACATTTCATTGTTGGCAAAGTGTAACAATTCTATTATCAAGTGCAAGTGACAATAGTACCAGACACAATAACAAAATATGGAAACACAAAAATGCAGTAACATGGAAAACAATTTCGCCAACATGTTCAATTGAATTCTATGCTCTAAATGTGTATAACAACTGACAATAAAGTCCATTCTAAAATAGAAGAACTCTCTCTAATATTAGTTCTATTTTATCCAACAGTTGTTTTGTTAAATGAAAGTTCAAAAGGAGAGGTTATCAGTTCGGTGGAAACTCTTTTTATGTTTATTTGTTTTAGTTATTTTAAAGGAAAACTTAGTTGTATCTAGTCTATAAATAAATCGTTATCATACATACTGTATTTAATTTATATACCTAGTAATTTTTATCTATTGTTAATGTATTTTGTTCGAAAGGTCACAGCAAAATAACAATAAAATGCTACGAACAATAATGTGATTTCAGACTTAATGGGTTTTGTTTGTCATCATTTATTTATGTTCAAGTTACTGTGAACACTGCAATTAATAAATTTGTTTAGAATTTCAATTAAGATAATTCATTTGGAGTGTAATTTTACAGCTTGCTAGGCATTCATTTACCAGGTTAATGTAGATGTCCAATTCGATGTTAGAGAGAAGTAGATAGATTGAATACTAATTTATTGTTATCGTTCAAGGATAATTTGAAGCATTGCATATCTAAATAACGTTTCAACTTACCACTATATTTACAGCGCAGACACGATAGGTTCCTTATCCGAAGTATTTACAGTTTTATCTACAAACATATACATATTAACACAGTCTTCGTTAGGACTCGGGTTGTCCTCTGGCTTCTCATCTGGACTTATATTCTCTACCCCATCATCTTCATACACCTTTAATTTATCATTGAATTCTATTTTATATCTAACTGAGGGGATCTTACTAACCGTGGAAGTTAAAAGTGATTCTTGTACGGTATCGTTACCGTTACAAGTTTTCTCTGAGCGAAACATACCTGTCCTCTCTGATTGGTTGAATTTCCTCTTAGCTCTCTTAGTGACCAATGCTCCTAAACACGGCAGTATCTGCATGAACTCCTTTCTGAAGTTTTCGTTCAACCACGCGTAGAGGAACGGGTTGTAGCAAGTGGAAGACATAGCTATGAAGTGTGCAACGAAAAATAACACCATGTAATACCTCCAGTCTTCTGCCAATGAATAAAAGTCACTACTTATATTAATTAGGTTCAGCGGCAGCCACGACAACCCGAAAATGGCCACCATCGCTATCAACATTCTGTTTGTTCGTCTCTTTCTTTCTCTTTCAGCGTCTTCCTTCTTACTATTCTTACTCCCAGGTCTTGACTTTAGTCTATCATTCAATTTTATACTAACACATGTATAGCAAAACGCCATAACAATGAAGGGGACTACAAACTGCATTATTGTAGTGACTGCGCCAAAGGCCTTGCGGATTTGATCTGACGGCCATTTCTCTGCGCAGTACACATCTTGGAGGGCCATGTAATATCCATAAGGGAAGGTCACAGACAGAGAGAACACCCAGATGAACACAATCAAACAAATGCAGGTTTGGATCTTCATGCGAGGTTTGAAAGGATATATGATGACGAAGAATCTATCTATAGCTATTGAAGTTAAAGTTAATGTTGAAATATAGACGCTGCATCCTTGTGCATAAGGCATAATATGGCACAGAGGTCCACCGAATACCCATCTACCGAGGAAAGTGTAAAGTGGTGTAAATGGTACTGCAAATACACAGAGTAGTATGTCAGACAATGCTAGGTTCGTGATGAAGAGATTAGTGACGGTTTGCATAGCTCTGTTCCTGATCACTGCGTAACATACTAGCGCATTCCCAAAGATTCCTACTACGAAAATAATGGTGTATGCTGTACAGAAAGCTGCTTGAATCGCTTTGTCTTCAATCGGGTCAGTCGTTGTATTGTTTTGGAATTCATCGTCGATTGCGCTGAATGTAACATTCTCGGCTGGATTATCGGTTGTCCATAGGTCGGTCGGCATAATTCCTTCTTGTCCTAAATTGTCATCATAAACCATTTAGGTTTGGTTTTGCTATCATATTTGGTATATCTTATTATGTTTTCAGTGTCTATGTGAAGCTCAGTTTTTCTCATACTGTTGAACACAGAAATTGACCGTCACTTTACTATGTTTGTAATTAATCAATGGTTGTTGATAATTGATCATTGTTTTCTATATTTGGTCGATCATTCTTGATTGATGGTTGAAATCTGAAACAAGAGAAAACGATTTATTATATCTGAAATGGCGAAAGTTTCTAGAGAGTAATCGACATCTTTGGTAATGGTATTGAAAATGTTATTTACGAACGCATTAATTTGTATAAATGGTATTCAAGTTAGAAGAATGGATGAACTAGCTAAGTAAAATCAAGGATTATGAAAAGTTTCCAGATATAAAAAAATGGTCTTCGAAAAAGAGCTTCCAAGGTTTACACGAAGTTATAGTTCATAAAATCGCCAACACTAGATCGGAGCGTATTTTATGTCTTAAATTCCCTGAGATAATATTTCACACTCCGTAAGTATTTTGATTGGTTGTAAAATACTTGTGTCTATAAAATTGGAACGGTTAAGTGGAACCTATAAAACGGAGAGCCTCAAATGGGTTCTACCATAAATATGTCTGTAAAATCTATAACCGTGAAGTCACTATAAGATGAATCTACGGATAATATAAACAAAACACCTACTTGGTTGTGTAATAAGTCCGTGTATTATTATGCTATAGTATTCAGTCCTAAAATAAAATGTTGCCGAATATGAGAAGCAAACTTGATACCTATTCTTATGGGAAAAGGATGACCTAATGATAAGCATATCGCGTCATATATAGCCACACAATATAGTGGCAATTACAAGAGCATTATCGGTTTTTTCAATAAAAATAAACATTGTTTTTTCTTTGGCATAGTCCATGACCATTTTATTAACGACATAGTCAAAATATTACCTACTTTGAAATTCATATAGAATCAGTTATGGTAATAAAAAACAAATGCATTCGCATTAATCGTTTGATTTTATTTGAATTTTGATTTAGAAGTCCCGTTGTTTTTTGGCTTTGATGTATAAGAACATGGTAATAAATATTACGGCTTCCTTCTTTTTTAAAATCCTTTAACAGTTTGACTGCCGACAGAAAACTGTTGAAGGTAAATCCTCCGCTATTGTGGCCCATACCTTGTCACCCATGGAGTTCAAGGTGTTAAAAAATTAAAAAACTGCGTTTAAAAAACCGACTTCAAAAACGAATGACTAACAAAAAGTAAAAATTAAAAAGGAAAAAAATAACTATTATTGGTCATACGTACTTATAGCTTACACCCCCACTGATGGGTTAGAAGTCGGTGCCACAAGTTTTAAACAAAATTATTCATTAAAACCTTAATAGATACCTACTTATCATTATTAAGCTGCTTAAAATTTTATTACGCATTATACCAACTTTGTCCATTAACTATTTTGTTGTGGGTTTGTGGCACTGACTTCTAGCCTATCAGTGGGTGTGTAAGCTATAAGTACGTATGACCAATAATAGTTATTTTTTTCCTTTTTAATTTTTACTTTTTGTTAGTCATTCGTTTTTGAAGTCGGTTTTTTTAAACGCAGTTTTTTAATTTTTTTTAGTTTAGTACTTTGATATATATTATACACAACCCACATGTATGCAAAGTTTTCATCAATACAAATTTTTCAAATTCAAACACTGGATGTGTACTTTTAACCATTGAGGAGTCCCTTAACTATCATACTACTTCATCATTGGACCTTTGATAACCATCACCCCCCCATCTAGGTGTAGGTAACGATCTCATCAATACAAATTAATAAACCCAAACACAACATAGCTACTGGTAACCGTTGAGGAGTTCCCTCAACTATCGTACTACTTCATCATCATACCCTTATTGACAATTACAACCCACCTAGGTGTAAAGTTCTCATCAATACAAATTAATCAAACCCAAATACGAGATAGCTACTGTTAACCGTTAAGGAGATCCCTTACCTATCGTACTTCTTCATCACAAGACCCTTATTGACAATTACACCCCACCCAAGTATAAAGTCCTTATCAATACAAATTAATCAAACACAAGGTAGCTACTGGTAACCGTTGAGGAGTTCCCTCGACTGGCTCTCGGCTCCATCATCAGATCGGCTCCAGACTTTTACCAAATTGTAGTGGTTTTCAATACTTAATGAAAAAATTACCAAATGCCCTAGTCGCCCCTATAATTTTTATAAGTTCCCCTCGGTTTCCCTGGTCTTCCATCATCAGATCCTGATTTCCTTATCATGGGACCATTCTGAAACTATCTCCTTTCCAACAAAAAAAGAATTTTTAAAATCGGTTCATAAACGACGGAGATATCGGCGAACAAACATAAAAAAAAAACAAAAAAAAGCATATATACGGTCGAATTGAGAACCTCCTCCTTTTTTGAAGTCGGTTAAAAAATAGAAATAGACATAACGTATTATGTAGGTTCCCTATGTTTACGGAGCACTGTGTTTATAATTTCATGAAGATAAATCAATTTTATATAGTTATATGTTTTGTCTCTTTTAAATAATGTATAAATCTTAACTAAAACGCTGTCTATGTTTCTATAGCTGTCATTGATAATTTTAAAATTGAAAAACTTTATATTTATGTCAACGTGGGCACTGCCTACACTATCTATAAAGTCTAAGATAATTCAATCCCTTTTGAACTTTTTATGAGAAAATTTCTATGTGCAGAAAATAAAATGATAAAAATTTGTTCTTAATGTCACTGAAAAATGTTCAGACAATTCATAATTATCTGTCTGAAGATATGGCCATTAGTCTTCTTTATTCAAATAATCGTGACATCTATGAAAGCCCAATAAATCGTTTCTGTCATTATCATCCTCCTTGGAGATCCAAAGATAAACCGTGTTCCTTTTTGTTTGAATGTTTGAATCGAATAGATTTTGAAATTGGAAGATGTTATTTTTTTTTGTAAAATATAAAGAATATTGCCAGTTTGACAATTTAAATGGGATAAGAAATTAGTATAATAAAATTTGCACAGCTAAAAAAATTGTTTCTTTATGGTATGATAAGAATTATGGAGTAGTTGAGTAAAAAAAGTATTGTTTATCAGTACCTACCTTTGTCTGGTAAAGAGGGATTGTAGCATTAGTTTTTATACCTAATGGTATTTATTAAGGTGTATAATAAACATGATTCATAGTTATGCCACATTAGACAGAAAATATTTTTGATTGGATGAAAAAATATGAGAGCCATTTATAAACACCTATATATGTATCATCAAAACTTTCCAAAGATGAAAAGGAAGTTTTTAATAAAGTAGATATTTATTTGTCAGTATAAAAATATAAGACCTCGCTCGTAATTAGGTTTTTGACATTACTTGGAAAATGTAAATTATTCCGAGAATTAAACGGAATTAGCTACCTTAGTTACTTCGAGTCTCGAATACTACAAAAAGGTATAACGAAGTTTGATGAACTTTAATTGAGTCGAATATATTTTTTTTCATGGCATAAGCCTGTAAACGAACAGACGGATCACTTGATGGAAAGCAATCGCGTCGCCCATGGACACCTGGAACACCAAAGGCGTTACACGTGCGTTACCGGCCTTTTGGGGATTAGGAGTTTGAGGATCGTTGGAGATTTAGAGATTGGTAAGATAAGAGAAGGGGAGGTGGTAATTGGGCCTCCGGTATCCTTACTCACACGACGAAACACAACGTAAGCGTTGCTTCACGTCGGTTTTCTATGAGGCATTGATATCACTCCGGTGAGCCGGCCCATTCGTGCCTAAAATAATGCCGTATTGGAAAAAACATACAGACGAAATGAGAACCTCTTCCTTTTTGAGAATTCGGTTAGTGAGTAGGAATGAGGGTATCAAATAAAATCATAAAGTATTTTTAGTGAAATAGAAGTAGATTATAATTTTATATTATTATTTTATATATTGTTTCCAGAATAAACTTTTTCTTTAATTTATCTAGGCTGCTTGTTTTCATTTGATCACGCAGGCAATAAACTATGATTCATAACATAACCAAAAGAAAAAAAACTTGTCCAGAAGTAGCTATGATATTTTTATAACATAATGTAATGAATATACTGAGAAACGCTCTACTAGTTTCGAACCACAGAAGAGTTCTTCCTTATGAGCAGCGTGCGACATCGCCGCGACCTTATCACACACACGTGAGTAACTAAGCAAAGTTAATAAAGCAATGATATTATGACTCACTCCTACCATTCCTCAATAAAATTATAATTGAAATCCAAAATTTTACTTAAATAAAGACTGTCTTAAATTTTACATCAACAATGCATCTGCAATTTGCCTTAACAAATGAACGAAGGATGAATGTTTAAACGAAACATTTGCTTAAATAACGTGACACAGGCGATTCAATTATATCGACTTGTTTGCTTAATTCTCCTCGCGCAATTTTTCCTTTGATTACCCAAGTTCTATATATATGTCTGTTTAATATATATTGAAAGGTAAATGTCAGTATAACGAGTTGTTCAAACGTTTTATATTTGAAGAGAACTCGGTTTCTTGTGTTGCAATTGCAAGTCTTTGAGTTTGATGTCCTATTTACTTGATGCGCAATTGGATCAAGGTGGTGTTTGGTGTTTATAATCGTAATGAGTCAAAAGCTTTTTGAAAATAGATACGACTGCTTCAAATTGTATATCGATGCTTTCAGTCGCAATACGTAATCAATTTTTTTATAAGATAATCCGGTGAACGAGCGGACGATCACCTGATGGTAAGTATTCGGCGTCGCCCATGGACACCTTGAACACTAGAGACGTTAAAAGTGCGTTACCGGTCTTTTGAGGATTAGGACTTAGGATTCTTGGGGATTCTGGGATTTGGGAGTACAGAAAAAACACAACGCCAGTGTTGTTTCACGTCGGTTTTCTTGTGAGGCCGTGGTATCACTCCGGTCGATCCGACCCATTCACACGAATTCGCTTGCCCACAATTAAACACATCAATGGAAATATTATAAATGTAGAGGATAATAAGAACGTATGGATGTTGGTTTGTTATTGTAACTCTTCCATGCAAAAACTACTGAACAGATTTGAATGAAATTTAGCAGATTTGAAGACTCATAAACAACTGGCGAAAAAATTATGATGCTATTTTTTCTAACTCCAACGAAAATAACT